TGTAATACTTTTTTAGGAGATGTACAATTGTAGTGATCTACAGATAATGGTTAGAACTTTGTTCTGTACTGGACAATCCAAATATAAGCTTTCCAAAATCCACTTACTTCAGGTCATCTATTTTAAATGAGACCTTTATAGTAACCCCTAGAGTCATTGAAATATATAATTATAGATAGATTTTATTGTTCTTCTAACAATGGAAGAAATTTGATGACAAAATTCTGCTTAGTAGGGGAGGTAGAGGGAAAAGGGTCTCTCACTTAAGACAATTGCAAGTAGGGAAAGTGAAGAACCTGGCCTTAGAAAAACACCTGCACTATGACTAATCTTGACATTTTGATCTGAAAATAAATCTTTTGGCCTCTTTTTTTCAGCAATTTTGAACACTAAAGAATTTGACTTTTATTAATTATTTTAAAACAAACAGATTCCAGCATATCAGGGAGATGTGAACAAGATTGTTGCTAAGAAATTAGGCTGCTGGCTGTAATTTCAAGCAAGGGGGGTCAAATAGTGCCTCAAAATGAGAGCTCTTGGTGCAACTCACAGTAGTTAATGCAGTGCTTTAAATGCCAAGCTACTGAGCTTCCTGTTTACAAAATTGTGAATGCTAGAAGCAGAAAGAAGTCACAAGAAACAAGAGCTCCAAATAAAATGTCTTTTCTATTACTTTACAGTCAGTAGTGTCATTAACACTGAACTTGGTCATATAGTTTTATATATTTAAATATTTCCAATTGCATGACAGTGTTTCATATCAAAATTCAGAAATGTCAGTTGTGCTTTATTGAGCAATAATGACATCCACAAATTCAGCCTGATATTTCACACTCAGCAAATCTTGGTGGCAGATGGCACTTAGCAACAACCCTGCATGATGAATCCTGGAGTAGAAGCAAAGCTCCCTGCCTCCTGTTCCTTACTCATACTTCAACAGTGTCCCCATCTCAAATCAAGATACCTTTACCACCAAAAGGAATATCTTAGATGTTGTTAGGCTTACCATACTTGAGTAGTTTTGGATCGATTCCTTTGACAATATTTGTCTTCTTCCGTCTCCCTGTTCCTCTACCACTAGTTACAGCCTCCCACAACAAATCATACTCTAAAATGATTTTGAAATAGTCATCAGTGTTAGATTACAACAGTACAGTAAAGTGCTTTGTCATTTTAATAAATCAATTGACTAAAGACCTTGTAAAAGTACAAAACACATGTTACATTATTTTTTCTCACAATGATGGAGATGTTGTTTTAAGTTACATCACATCCTTTTCAGACTGGAGAAATAATCATGCAATGTAAAGTTATAAGCTTAATGCAATACCATGTCCTGGCAAGAGAAATATATATTTTTTGTATTGCATGTGCAGCAAGACGCATAAATAATACTCTTTGAGACTGAGAAGGGAAGATGGCTGGGGACTTCATCAAAATCTGCACATTTTCAGATTTCTGGCAATTGTCATCCCTGGCTAGATTACATGTACATTCTTCAATGTTAGAACGCTGTACCTGAATTTCCGCTTGAATAAGTACGCTTTTGGCCTTGTATCATCAGAGCTGAAATAAATCCTTTCACCATCAGCGAATCTGTAAGAATGCCTCATTTTTAGTACCTTCATCAAAAATTATACTTTTTGTCTTGGAGAAATTTCCACCCTGGTTACTGAAATGATCAAGGTGCACTCTTTGAGGTTCAGTCGAGATATGTGATCTGAACACGTTTCCAATGTGGATGCTAAGATGTAAGATCAATACAATCAAAACCTCCCTGAAAAGGAATCTTTTACACAGATGATAATAAAAGATAAATGAGCACAGCTTGTGAGATAAAAAGTCTGGTGGATTCATAGATTTTGAGGCAAATCCCTCCTTTGCTCAAAAAAGGTTAATCGCAAAATCTATAGGGAGAGCTGACCAATTCAACAACTTTGTGTAAAGTGACTGAAATTCGAAGGGGTTAGAAAAACCTTGAAAATGTGTGCGATCATTTGACACTCGATGACGAAATAAAATGTTTTTAATTCATGATGCTGAAAAAAATATCTTACCTTTGTTAGAACCTGAAAAACTCGGTAAATTTCCACTCTTCCTTAAAACTAAAGGTTTTCCTAAGTTCAGGCAGGACACACATCTCCTGAATACAGCCGCCATTTTGACTACCAGAGGCGGCCACTAAGCGTCACTTCCATCAAGAATGCCGGGCTACCCAGCCGCTCAATATGGCGGCTCAGTTTGTAAAATTTGGTGTCCCTATGATCGTAAGTGGATCACGCTCTGCTTATGAGCAGGGCCTGCATAAAGATATGTCCTAGAGAATCTTAACTCTTTTTAATATTAACATGATTGTTTATTTGTCATTGAGTTATCCATTTTATATAATCTTTTGAGTTATTAAGAGTTGGAAAATTACGACGTCACTACGAACAGCTTATCATAATTATTTCTTGTATGAATTTTTTAAGGGTCTGATCGTTGGTGGATCGTTTGCATTGAAGGAATTCACTGAGATCAAAATTAAGCGCCGGGATGAAAAGACTTACAGGGTAAGCTGATAGATTTAAGGACTCATTTTCTCGTCAAACTTGAAATCATACATCTGCAAACCTGCTTGTCGCCTGGTCTCTTTTTACCACTCTTAATGTTTTTCCTCAATATCTCTTTCCCGTTGATGGCTGAAAGAGACATTTATGTAATCATACCTCTCTTCCAATTTACATTCAGGGAATCATTCATGGCTAAAGTTTATTAAAATCCCAGAACATTTGGATATTGCCATGATGTATCAAAGCCAAGTAATAATAATAATAATAATAATCATAGTAATAATTTATCATATATTCTTAGCCGTTTATTCATCACTTCACGGGTTTATTTGGAACCCACATATTGACCAGCTCCCAGTTGGCTTGTTGGTAGAGCGCTGCACTGGTATCACAGAGGTCATGAGTTCAAATCCCGTACAGGCCTGAATTTTTTTTAGGCCTTTTTTTCACTACTGCTGAAGTAGTGTATATTGCTGCGAGGATCACTTTCATATTCACATCTTTATCCACAGTTCAAATATACAACTTTCATATATTCTTAGCCAGTAATAATAATTATGATAATAATAATAATAATAGTAGTGATAACAATAAGGAGAGTGAAATATACCTGAATGTTAGTAATACCAAGATAAATAAAGGTAGAGTAAGCATTCAAGTCCGATGGCCCAACTGGCCAGAGTTTATTCCAGTTTACTTTAACATTAAGTTATAGACTAGAAGTATCAAATAATTTCATGTGAATAAAAGAACATTTTTTTTCTGTGTAGTTGAATAGGGAAGAAGCTCTTAAAGCTTTACCCAACAAGGGAAGAGAAGTCTTAATCGAAGAGGCATACAAGGTAAATTAATACTATTATTTTATTGATCATTGAATTTGCACTTGTCATGAAGAGATATTCTTGTGCAAAATAGTAACTGACTGAAAATGCATTGTCTTGATATCACCACTGAAAATTTTAGCCTTAAAAACAGAAAGAAGGACTACAGTGAAGTCAACATTGGGAATGTTTTAGGAATGCCAAGAAGGAGAAGACGAAGACATAACGACTTGTGTTAATTTACTTTTTTTTCTGCTTTATTAATTTACACATTCTCTTCGCAACAGGATATCGCCGAAAATTTAGATATTGACCACTGGGAAAACAAACGAGGACCACGTCCATGGGAAGAATAGCCAAGGTCATGAAATTTGAAAAAATAATGTTCAAGCTTGCAGAAAAGTGGCTTTGTAGCCTTTTTGGTTTGCAACCAATTGATCTCTGCAGAAAGAGTGGACCAGCCATTATGTACTACCAAGTTCTGTCTTTGCTCTGGATAGGGACTAACAACAGTAACTCTTTTCACTCCTGTGTACTGATCAATAAGTAACTTCTCCTTACAGTATCAATACATTGTCAAGCATAGAGGTGAGGAGAAGAAAGAAATGTGTAAACTAGGGGATTTTGTCGAAGTGAACTTTTCAGAGCTAAAATAATAAGCAGACAATGTTATGAGGGAAAGTAGGAAGAAGACTTTTAAGAGGCATAGGGTTAAAAACATTAAATGAGATTTCTATGATGACCACTCATCTTGAGTGTTTAAAACTGGGTATAATACAAACTAAACTTTTTTTAAAGCTGGGCACCAGGCTAATGGCAAAAAGAGATACTGTACAAAGATTTCACAAATTGAGAGGCATGTTTCCACACAGTGCTCCTATCCTTCTGCTGTTTCTGTATTTCTTCAAGATAACTGTCCTTCCTGCCTCAGCCACACAAAAGCTACAAAAGAGAGTAAACAATGAATCCATTGTGTTATTAAAGGCCAATTTCTTTATGTCTCATTGTTTATGCAATGTATTACAACAAGCCATAGCAAAAGAAATGTTGGGTATATACATCAGACAAGTTTCCATTGTTCCTTGCAGCCTTAAATGTACTGATCCAGTTTACTCATCATACTAAATGGCATTTTGCAACAACAAATAGATTTACTTGGCAGGCTCCCATCAGTCTCTTTTTAGATAAAGCTATTTTTAATTAAATTTCTACTCATTACTAGTTTCAAATTCATGCAACATTAAATGTCACCTAAGCTGAAAATTATTTAATAGTGCAGCATCTTGTCAATGTCCCTTGCACAAGGAAGGGATCAGAGATGCACTATGGTAAATATTTGCTAGTTTGTGGATGGAAACATTTCTGGCAAAAAAAGACAATTGTTGCCAAAAAAATGATATCTCTGCACTGGGCCTGATATATTTATTTCTTTGAAGAATTTGGTGAATAATTCTACCTCATCAATAGAAACTAGAACAGACTTGACATTTGTGCTGGCCTTTCTTCAATATACGTAAAACATCACCGACTAAAGAAGCTCTTGATTTTCATCAAAACAAATTATCTTTGTTTTCAACGTGGCAAATATAAGGCGAACTTTGTATGCATTCTTATGTCAGAGATGCCATTTTTCCGTCTTTGATTGCTTGACAGGTGAACACCAATCGTAAATCATTGCTTTAATTTTTCCCACCATTCCCTTCACACGTAGTTTTTCAAAATGGCCGCCGGGTGAGCAATGACTGCGTTTCTCTATTCGCTGTAAGTGTGAAGGGAGTAATTTCATTATGACGAAGGCTCAGCATCACCAGCATATACCAAAGACTCTGGAAAACGCTGGAGAGTTTCGGATGTTTATTTATGAGCTGACAGAGTCAAGAATTTTTAGCGTTAGCATCCTGTTCGTAATTCTTCTCAACACAGTGATCTTGGTGATTCAAACTGACGAAGCATTTGCAGTGAAAGCAGGTAAAGTTTTTAAAATTGCAGTGAAATCGCTTTGGATATTGGTTTTCCTTTATTGTGATGCTTGTCGGGGGAAAAATATTAAATCTGTGATGAATGGTTTCGACTTTTCTACAGTAATTATTTAAGACTGAAAAATAATCGTTTTCCCAGTTCAGTTGCTCCTCCGACAGATTAAGTTCTGTGAAGACTATAAACACCAGACTGCAGAATGTGATTGTGGAATCTTTTAAACTTACAGCAGCATTTATTCGACCAAGTCTACCTGAACCTTTCCTCTAGATATGTTTCATTAATTTTCTATTCTTGTTGTACCATTTTGACTAAATCGTTATTTATCGCCATCAGACTGACAGTTAAATTTGAAATCACACTAGCCTTTTGATCTATAAATGTGGTAAACATCTTACATGATTTTAAACAGAGAACGAACACCGATTTTCTCAGCCACTAAGCACTCAAGAAACTGCCGACAAGCAATTTTAATTCACGATCTCATACAATAACAGTTTGAATACCTCTTCCATGATCAATTGCAGGTTGGTATCTATCGGCTCTCGACAACGTCTTCCTTGCTATCTATTTCATGGAGATCATTGTGAAGCTGTATGCCCTTCGCTCGTATTTCTTCAAGACTGGATGGAACATAATGGGTAAGTAAACATGGCGCAGCCTACAGGAGTCACTTTAAGTTTACTTTTCACTAAGCAAAAATTACTTGACGCGTTAAACCCTAAGATTGATCAGCAGCTATTTTCTCCTTACAGTAATAGTTCTGAATCGTTGATTAAGATCATGAGAATATAAAGCAAATCATTGCCAGCCTAGCTAAGAAGCTGTGATTGTTAAGCAAATTCTCCTTTTCAGTACCGAAGGAAATGTGTAGAGAACAGTATGGAGAAAATAGATGCTGTTGTTAAGGTGTGGAGGGTTAATTGATCAGTTTCTTAACAATGACGATCATATGCAGAATAGCACTACAATCCAGACTAATGTGATGCCGTGAAAAATTTCGTTAAACGGACATTATGAGTAATGTCAACATTAGAGAAATATTTTTGCTTGCATCCTTGTGGGTGAAATGTTACAAAGGTAGTAGATCAGTGCACAGGTATTTTTGCTCATGAAAGACTGACTGGAATTTCCATGGCTCTAATTATTGATACTGGACAAATGACAGCCTTGATTAAGATATATCTCTGAACTTCACAACATTCACAATAACAACTAAAAAGTATTAAGGGGATTTATAGGCACTCCTCTTCCCCCCCCCCCCCCACTTTCCAATCTTAACACTCTTTTCTTTTCTCTTTTTTTGCTTTTTGAAAGCCTGATAAATTTTCCTATTTCTAAAGATCTCTTACTCAAATTTTCATTGACAGTATTTATGGGTTTTAATGTTGAACAAAGTGTTTTTTTTTTTTTTAAATTAGTGTCAGACCCTGGGCAAACCTCTCGCTAACTCGTCTTAATTCTTTCCGCGGGCGGAGAAACGCGCGTCCCGCAGCACTAATAGTGAGGACCTACTGACAGACCGGCCTTTGACACTGTAAACCCTAAAAGTGACCAGCATCTAATTTCTCCTTACAATAACACTGCTAAACCATTTGTTAATATCATGAGAATGAAGGAAATGATCGCCGACCTAAGAAGCTTTGATCTTCAAAGAAATTCTCCTTGTCAGTACCGAAAAGATATATAGAGAAGAGTATTGAGAATATGGATACTGATGTTAGGGTGTAAAGGGTTGAACTTCAAGCAAATGAAACTTCCTAAAACAATGGCCTTGGTTAATAATAGCGACGATTGTACGCTGTACTTTTAATCATCTCACGGTCGTAATTTTTGTATTCTTTCCTAGACCTACTCATTGTCCTTTTCACAGTTGTGGACTTTCTGCTGCCGCTGATCGTGCAGAATGTAGGTTCCTTCGATGTGGCAGCCATCTTTAGGCTACTGCGCATGTTTAGAGCTATCAGGGCGCTGAGAGCATTGCGGGTGTTACGAACCATCAGGTAAAGATTTGGTGGGGTTTACTTCTGTGTGGTGTGTCCCTTTGGCATTTGTACGAGCGTTGTTGTGCTATGCAATCTTTAAGCAAAAGCGACACTACTCTTTTAATCTCCTACGTGCCCATCGTTGTGGCGCGTTCTGTAATACAAGGGGAGGTATGGGGAAGGGTAGTGTGTTTGGTTAAAATCTTAGATTACGGCTATGACAGGCCTTGCGCGAAGAAGCTCGGCCCCAGAGAAAAAGAGCTTTGAGTATGACCTTAACGGAGACACATTGAAAAGCTTCGCTCAATCCCTACTGTAACTTTGGCAAGACCATTTGCGACTTCAACCAAAATTACCGCCACATTGTCTGGAATACATGGGTTAAGAGCATATTAATCAAACTCCATGTAAGAGTGGGACGGAACGAGGATTAAAAAAACCACAACAACAATATTAGTATTTTACAGAACTGCGGCTTAAAGTTTATTACTGAGCAATTTCTAAAACTTTAGAAAACAAGTCTATGATATAACCAAATGATACGGAATCATGACACACTGTTCTGCGATGATCTTTCAGTAAATCTTTTTGATTTAGAGGCCTGAATGTTTTTCTTTCAAGGTTTTTGAAAAATCTACAAGTTATCATGACAACGATCCTAAAATCGTTCAGGGCGCTGAGTACGATCGTTATGCTACAGGGGCTCTTCCTTTGTATCCTTTGACTCCTGTTATAATCATTTGTACAGCAAATTTTTCTCGAGGCTTTACGGCTTGCCTTATCGACTATTTTTATTCTCTCTCCGACCATTTTCTGCGTAGCCCAGGTAGCTGGGCGTTTTGTTGGAGGTTTCATCGGCGGAGCTGCTAAAATTAGAGATAGAACAAGCTCAGCTTCACTGTTTCAGCGCCCCTGCCTCTTTCTTTTTTCTCGTTTTAACAACATGCCTCAAAACCGCTCGCCACGACGGCCATCTTCTTTAACACAGCACGGTTTCAAGCAGAGTTATTCTCTTCAGTATGAGATAAAAGCATTTCACTTCTTCCGTGGAATAGGCCTAAACTATTTTTTGGTTACACTAGCGTAATCTCATTTGCAGAATCTGTTACTGCAATAGATTCCTAACAATGTGGTCTATAGATATGTTTGCGGTGATAGGTCGCGGGTTATTTTATGAAGTAGCTCCCGCCAGGTTTGGTACTCTGGGGAAGGCGTTCTTCACACTCTTCCAGCTCATTACTTTGGACGATTGGTTCTATATGTACAGTGATGTTGTGGCGAGAAATCCAGGTGGGCTAATTTTTTTTCTCAGCTCTTTTGACCGCGTTCTGAATAGGAAAATGTATGTGCCGCTAATTGAACGCCATCTCCTCGCGCAAAAATTTGATTCCTTTCAAATCTTTTGCAACAACTTTTTTTTTCTCATTTTAATATCTTTTGCTATTTATTCCTTGATATAATTTTTTAATATCTATCTTTTGTCTCGTTTGTTCGTCTGTGTGTCCACTATTCCATCCGTCCGCTTGTTCAAGTATTCATTTCATATTTATGTATGCATTTTGTTCATTCATTCGTTATTTCGGTCAGTCACTCATGTTTTTATCATATCTACTTTCTCCATACAATGTTCTTAGCACGTGATCCTGAAGTCAAAGCATAACTGTTATTCCATTGATGAACACTTCTGATTAATATTCAGACGCGTTTACTCTTAACGTTGCAAATTTGTTCTCCGAGTAATACTTACGTATTGAACAAGTTTGTGATAAAAACAAACATAAACCAAAACCAAATTAACAGCGGTCTTCCACCCCCTTTAAGATCACTCATTGCTGTCTGTTTAGCATGCGAGCAGGCCCTCTGTTTGGGTTTCGCCTTTCAGCAAACCCACCTGTTATAATCGACAGCCGCTTCTGGAAAAAGTTGTTAAAATACCTGAATAACTTGTCATTCAGATGAAAGGTGTCCAAAGGGGCCCGCATACTGTAATACTGCTATTGACTTAAGCTCAAAGTGGGTAAAATCTTTTTATCCTGTTCTATTTCTGGTAGGTTATGGTTACATCATCTTTTATCTCATCGTCTACATCGTCCTGGAGAATTTTATCTTTATGAAGTAAGAATTTTCTGTTGTTCCTGTTGATGTTATTGGTGTTGTTCTTGCTGCAGTTGACAGGGACCTTATTACAAGATCTCTCTCAAGAAAGGCTACATTAAGCGAAGAAGTTTAGAACTAGTGGATGACTCAAGTGAGTTATTGAACTTCCATTTTCTTCTAATTCCTCATTTCTCTTAGTCTGTTCGTGGCAGTTCTGGTGGATAACTTTCAGCGGACCATCACAGCCGTGGAAAACAAGCCTCACAAGAAAAACAGCGGGATTCACTTCAAGAGTGTCTTTGAAGACGTAAGATCGGAAGAAAACTTTGTTGAAATGCGATCTATGAGTCGGAAGTGTAACAACAGATCTCATAGTACCAGTATAAGCAGTACATTGATCCCGTATCTGTTCTTTCCAAAGTCCTTGATAATTTTAGGAAGCCTTAGGCTGTTTGTTTCTATCAACAAAGAATTCCATTTTATCATTTATTTTAAGGTATTATCAAAGAAACCCAAAATTAATCGGGAACGGGATTAAATGGATTAAATTAAGTTTTTACGTCCAATGGTTTGTAACGGAAAATCACTCATTTTCTCTTTTTCTAATCCTTTTATTAGGTAAAGTCAGGCGAAGATGGAAGTGCATACTCTTTTTCGGACAATTCTTTTTCCGAATTTGAAGGTAAAAGACATAACTGGGGAAAAATTAGTCGGGGTTGTGTGGGACCCGGGGAGGTCATAGTGCCCCAGGGGTCAGAGCGCTGGTCTCCAGGCCGAGAGGTCTGGATTCGAGACCTGTCAGGGTCATTGTGTAGTGTTTTAAGGCAATACATTTTACTTTCACCATGGTCACCATGCCTCTCTCCTCCCAGGAGTTTAGATGGGTACCGGCGAATTGTCAGGACTGCGTGATGAAATGCTGGACGATCACCTTGCGATTGACTGGCATCTTACTCAGGCGGGAGTATTAATGGTCAGTCGCTTCCTAACCGGGATAAGCCTCCTGGCAAGACCTAACCTACCTTTGAGGGAGTCCACCGAAGAAGTTGCAGTGGACCTTGAGTTAGAATTGAAAAAAGCGTTACAAGGGTCTGATTGGCTCTGTTACACTTGAACGCTCTCGTAAAGTTTACAGCAAATGGGCACCGTCTTAATTTTCACCATTCTCATAAGCTGAGGTGGAAATATTTTCAAATTTTGTGGTCAATGAGAGATTTGTTTTCTTCTCTTTACTGTTGGTTGATATGTGGTTGAAGGGAAACGTGGAAGTGAATGTTTAATGTCATTGTTCTAGTAGACGAGGAGGAGGAAGAAGACGCCGACATCGTGATTGCGAAAAAAGTGGAGGACTACTATCCTAAAAATAAATTCTCTGACAGGTATGAACAAAGCACAAGTTCCGAGTCTTCTTGCATTAACCCTTTCACTCCTGGGATTGGTGTACAAGTGATTTCTCCCTGGCATGATATCAGCTTCATTTCCAACAGAAAGGTGAAGGCAGCAGTGAAAAAGATCAACACGAGAATATTGTGTGATCATCTGATCAAACACCCAATTCTTAATATTACCGCTAGAGCAACTCATCCCCTTCATTTACGTCATCCCACACATAGAACAACTGTCATTAATATTTTATTGCTTTCTAGGGAACGAGCTTTCATCGCCGAATATTTTACGCTTCTCGCTTCTTTGGAATACAACGTGCAAGAGATGCACAGAGTACAACAGCTGGCAAACGATCTCGTGGATATTACAGTCTCGGTAAAGCAAATACTCTTTTCTAAAGAATAAAGGACCTTTCATTATTCAAAGCCTTGTTTGAGATAAGAGGAGGGGAGGGGGGGCGGGGGCTTCCGGAGGATTTTAGTAGTATCACATTGAAATAATAGAATATTAATATTAATATTAACCTGATCCCCATGGGGCCGTGTGATAAATGTATGGGAAACCCCCCCCCCCCCCACCTCTCATTGACAGTTGATGTCCTATAGTTCCCCTTTGACATCCTCCGTTCCTCCATTCCCCCCCCCCGCCCCTCCCTCATCTTCCCCAGGCGATTAAAAAATGACTGGTACCTTATGCTTGGAGCTAAGCTTGAAATGCAGAGGAAGGTTATTTAAATCTTAACAAATATTAGTGTTGCTATGGGAGTTTTCTTGTCTTCCTTTTTTCTTCTTTTTTTCCTCAACAACGTTTCCTTAATAACGTTAACATGTCAGTCGCAGAAATATTCTCAAAAAGATACGAGGCCATGTGCGATAAACAAATGTGCGTCGATCAATTCGAAGCTTCAATATCTTCGGCAACTCCTGAGACATTTGAACTTCTGTTGATTGGTTTGTTCAAATGACCCACCCAATATTTTGTAATAGGCAACATCAGCGACTGTGACTCTTTACGCATTTTCCAAGCTTAGTAACCTAGACCTTGTAGACCTTTTTTTTTTGAGCCATTTGCTCACGAAAATGAACTACATCTCAATATGTAAAAGTAATGATCCATTAAATATTTTTGCGCGCGCGACTGGTCTAAACGCATCACGTGACCGAATATTGGGGGGGGGGGTGGGGGTATCCGAGGACCAAGTGATATTCAACAATTTTTAAACCCTACGTCCACTACGATAAGCCTTCGTTTAATATTTAATTCAAGGTAAGACAGCGTTTTGTATTTGATACAGAAGGGAAATATTTATTCGTTTATCATGTCGTATCAGAGAACACTTTTAAGTGTTCTCTGATACAAGTAAATCAAAGTGCTCTGTGAGCAAACTCGTGAATTGACACATGATTTTTTAGATTATGTTTAATGTTATCTGGTTTAGGGAATTTTGTGGTTGATTGTCATATCTAGAGTACGAGCAGTAGTTCAGTGTTCGCTAATGTAGCAAAGAAACAAAATAACGTTGGAATAAGAAGGCATTACAATTGAAATGATCATGCTATTACATTTGACAAGGTGGATGATGTCATGTGTTTTAAACGTCTATCATTTTTGTTTCTGGTTCAAAAGAAAAGGTTGGAAGTAAATGTGGGTGAAAAGTAAAATTTAATGTCTATCGTTTTAAATATTAGAAAATCAAGGCAATACTGTCTTAATGAAAACATTAACGATTCCCTCTTTATCAAATGAGACAAAGGGGAACGAGTTTTGAGTGATACAACTAAGCCAAGTCTGCCACTGTCATTTTGGATCTCCGCCTGGGTAGATTTAAGTCACGTGCTAGGCAACGTATCATCAATAACAAGATAGAATTTCATTTCAGGCCTATTTATCAATTTTGTGGTGTGTAACTTTCGCATTAAACGTACGTTGTATGTATGTTGAATCTTCAAATTGTCTTGAAACTTCAAAGAAAATTGTTCTTTAAAAATTCACTGAAAATCGGTAGCTAAAATTGTTTGTTTAGGTGTTATTTGATTTTCGTGTTAACTTGTAATCTCGTCAGTCGCCGGCATCTTCTGTTGCTTCACACAGGAAAAACACACGCGACGAAACGTAATGATCAATTTTGTCCTTAATCTCACGCCATAACAGAAAAAGCTTTTGAACATCTGTAAACTCCGAGCGCTTCGCAGTAAGTGATATTTTCAATGAATTTTCGGATTGTTTTCAAGTTCAAGGATTGTAAATTACAATTTTATGGAAGACGAAGGTTGTTCTGTTATTTCAGTGTGAATCCTTGCATGCCTGCCAGTTGCTGGCGCCGCCTGTTGAAACTAAAATGAAAAAAAAAAACTCTTTTAAGATTATCATTGGCTTCTTTTTCACCCCACCATTATTCTTAGCAACAAAGGTCGCCATTTCGTCTGTTTATTGCTCGCCAAAAACTATCAAATGCACTCAAAAGCCTAAAATCTAAAAAAAGTTTACAGGAATCGACCAATCGAGCGAGCGAGCGAATGCCATTCCCCACATCGTATCTATAACTCGCTCTTGCGCATGCGCGCAATTCACGAGTTAAAAAGGAAACATCCTACTCAGCAAATAGTAAGCTGTTCGTAAACATTTTTTCACGCGCGTTGCAAAATCTTTGAAGGATAATAATTACAACAGCCTCTATTTTGCGTAAAAATATGCTTGTATAGTTGTCCTTGGACATTATTTGTTCCTTGAAGCACACAGTTTTCCCCGAGCTTCGCTGTCGGATAACTGTTCGCATCTTGGAATAGGATAATGTCTGCGGACAAATATCCGTGGATATTTTCACGCCAAATAGAGGGCATAGTTTTTACATAACACTTGTATTATCCTGGAAAAACCTGACACTTCCGATTCAAATTCCCAGGTACGGTTCAAATGCTCCATCTCTGGGCACGGACGACAGTCAAATGCCCGTTGGTTTCCTGGGGGAGGGGCGGAAGGGGAGACGCAGCTTCGAATTGATCGGTGCATTAAGTCTTAACAAATATGAAGCATTTATATTTGATCAGTTTAATCTCTGAGTGATCGATTTTTCTAGATACCTGATGTACCAGAGGAGTTAATCTGAAGAAGATTGGTGAACGGAGGCGGTTACAGATTTCCCGTCGCCTCTAAAGTTACTTTTGGGCTTTGAAAATTTTTAAATTCTGTAACTTATACTTAATTTTCTGCATTTATCAAGAAAGCCATTACTTGTTAAATGATATTACACTTTCACGAAAGTGCGTTAACAGAGGAAAGTAAACTTATTGATGAATGTTGTGGAAATCACTCGCAGGTCAAATCCTCACACAGTCATTCATTTACACCAGCGTCCGTTCCTAGGTTAATGGGTAATTCTGAGAACTTATGCCTTTTGAAATCCACTTGCCAAATCGATCACATTTCTTAATTCTTCGTTGTGTCACTTTCATGCGGTGACATTGGAAGCATTTCTACCCAAACAAATCAAGGAGAGGGCAGATTGTACTATCTTGGCCTTTTTCCACCTCTCCCTTTTGATCTAAAATTTGTTCTCGGATTAAAATTAGACTTTTTTCGCGGACCTTTTCTTCCGCCCCTTCCACGACCCCGATTTCTTCTCTTTGTATTCCAGTTTTTTCCCGCCTTTTTCTCTTCCCATTTAATTTCCTTGTTGTTGGCGCTCCCTCGTTTGACATCATAAGTGCCGCCTCTTGACGCTTTGGAATTTTCAAGCAGATGGGCTAACTAGGAAAAATATTAAAAAAACAAACAAACGAATACAATTTAAAAAAGACCGCATCGCAGTAGAGCAATTTTCCATCGAGTGTCAAAAGTAATCGGCATTGCTTTGTTTTTTTATTTACTTCGTCATGTGATTGGCTAGAAACTCGCGCTACTTTCCCAACCAATCAGATACAAAGCTAAACCAATAGTGAGCTGGTCTCTCTTTACCTTGACTTCTCATTGGCCCGAAGAGTAATATCCTTTCTTCTGATTGGCCGTTGTGATTACTCTGGTTTTGGTTTTACCACACTCGATCAAAAACCGCTCTTCTTTAGCATCGATGCTCTGAGGAACGTTCTGCTATCACCTTTCTTTCCGAGCGAGTGTGTCCTCTCTCGCTGACTTGTTAAGATTGCCTTCAAGTTATTTATTTTCGCACTAAATTCAAAACAGGAGGGCAATATCGAACTTAACTGTTAGTGAAAACACCAGAGAAATCACAACGACCAATCAGAAGAGAGAAAGATACCCTAAAGAGCCAATGAAAACTCTAAGTAAAAACCAAACTGTCTAAAGAGCAGGAAAACGGGAGCGACCAAGTCGTGGTTTGTTTTAGCTCCTTAGTTAAGTGGTTAAGAAGGTGGCGCGAGTTTTCCAAAACTGCAATTTGGGCAAAGAAAGCGACAAAGAATATGGAATATTTATAAACAGTAACACTATATATTGATTCAATCCATGGGTAATAAAACACAGACACGCCACAACTAACCTTCATAAGTGTATGAGCAAAATGAGAAATTGAAGGATTATAATGTCTGAAAAGCCTATTGAGTTCTCGTAGACAAGAGTTTTCCGCCACGCTGCACAGCGGTTTTCTCCAGGAGGGCTCATAGGTTTGACTCTTCTGAGCCTCGTTCATACGTGTTTAAGTCTTTGCTGCGTCAACGTGGCGTAGTTGTGGCTCTTTTCTAACTGATGAAACCACGGTCGAGATTTTGTCTTCACCATCTTCCAACGGGGACGTCCACAAAATATTCTTCATCGTCTTCCTTCTGCGGTTATCGAGAATTACAAAATTAGTTTTGAAGGCCAAAATCGACGAGCAACTTGTTTTCTATCTCTTTGCCGGAACAAGAAAAAAAGTCAGTCAACCCTTTTTTATTCTACTTCATGATAACAAACTTTCTCTTCTTTACGCAGGAATCTTTAAAACGGTCTGCATTATCTTTGAAGTAATGGTGACATTTCTCTATCAAAGTTATATTTCGTCTCCATGCCCCGCCCTTTCAAATATGAAACAAACAAAAATCATAACTAACGTTAAAAAAAACGATAACAACAACAATATCAACCGTAACGAAAACAGCAAGAGCTATTTATTTCATTGTTGACCTCTATATCCAAATCACACGATGATGTTAAAAGGTACAAAAAAAAGAAAGGCAAAAATAATTGAAATTCTAAGTTGCTAGACTAACGCTTTTAAAAGCGGTTACTGTTGCCATACTCAATTACAAAGCTGATTCCTTTACAGTGTCAGCTTGGATGAAAACTATCACCGCATGTTTGCGCGTGTGTTACGCCAAACGTGCGCGCTGATCTGCACCCTTTTCAGCGCTTTCTTAGTTCTATCTGAATGGAACAGGATATAAAAAGCTTTAGGAATAAACCGGTCTACACTTAAGCAGCCCACTTAAAAAATATCAACTATCGTCAAACAACATATTTCTTACAAAAAAGGTTGAATATGTTGGTATTTCATCAAATTAACACTAATCAGATAAAAAACTAAGCTTCTCTCGTCAATATTTCCTGTATGTGGTTTAGGAAATGTAAAGAGGAGTTTACACATAAATTAGTTCTGAGAATTTAGATTAGAGTTTCCTTAATGGAGCCATCAGTCTAGTTCTTCGACCCAACATCGATACTTGAGCTGCTTTGGCTGATCTGGTTGATCTCTGATCTACTATCACGCGTATTCACATTGGCTAACTGTGTATTCTTACGAACGTACGCAGTGATCTGAGCCCCTATGAGCTCTTTCTTATTTTTTTCAGGATGGAACAAGATAATGAAAGCTTTAGGAATAAACATGCAGCCAAGCAGGCCAAACGAATCAACTAGTATCGTGCTGCAGGCTATAACAGAAACATACCAAGCATCCTGCACTGAGAAATCCACCGAGTAATAACACAGTGCAGACAACAAAATTATGTAAAGCGAGAAGCCGATGAAGCGCGCCTCGTTGAAATTATCTGGCACTTTGCGAACTTTGAATGCATAAAAAGACGAAAGAAACGAAAGCAACAACACATACGAACAGACCATGAAATAAAACGCTTTTCCGACCGACGACCCGTACAGTTTACACGTGTAGAAGATGAATTGGGTCGGTTGTATCTTCTCCTTTCTGTATGGCGGATCCGAAGCGAACCACGCGGTTAACAGCACGATGTCGACAATGTTCACCAGAGCAACCAAAGCGACTTGGTATTTCACTCTTGAAATGTAACTTTGGAAGGGCATTTCTGAACTGTCGACTTGGAAAACGACGAAAATGCGAACTGACTTCAGCCACAATATGGATACAAAAGTGGTGTAGATTGCGTACCGGGAAAACTGAATCAAGCGACATATAGAATCAGTTGGCTTTGTAATGCTCAACAGCGCCAGAGTAAAACTGGAGAAGATCGCAGCAAGAAGGAGAAAACTGAGCTGTCTATTCGAGGCTTTCACAATTGGTGTCTCGCGGTATTTCAAAAACACAAGTAACATAGCCACGGTCATGCAAAATCCTAACGCTGTCACGCAAGAAAGGAATACACCAGCTGCATCTCTGAAGTTAAGGTTTTTCACTGGCAGTTCTTCGCATTTGGTTTTATCATCGTTCGGCTTTTGTTTACGCGTGCACTCCGTGCAGTTGGTCGATCCAGGCGACTTGCTGACTGTGCCCCCCGGACATGTAACGCACTTCCAACAACATGAAGTGGTTACCTCTTGCCTAGTTCCGGGGGGACACACTTGACTACAGAATGAGGACGGTACCTTTGTAGCAAAAGTAGCGTTCGCCCATTTGATCGCGGGGTCGTTCAGTGCCAACCTTGGCTTCTTACTACTACTCCAGGATCCTACCAAGGCCTTCTTTGAAGCTCCCGTGCTATTTATTTGGACGTTCACAATTTCAAAGAAAGAATTCTTGGGATCACCTTCGCGGTCAAATTCTACAACGCCAGTAAGTCCTTTAAAACTGACATTTTTCAAGAGGGACAACAGATCCTTTCCGTCAGTTGCTAATGGCTTTCCATCAGAGCATGCTTCCCCCGAAAGTTCGCAGTTTAAAGCGCTACATCTAAAATACTTGTCTAATGCAAATGCCACGGCATAGACGGCGTCTATAAGGTAGCCAAGGTAAGGGTCGAACAGTTTCGAAGCTTCATTTGGTGACAAAGGTACATTCGAGCACTGTGGGTCGGCTGCGCTGTCTGCGTCAGGGGTGCAATTCCGAAATTTTTCCCAGTATTCTTCCCACCACGGATTCCTTCCTAAACGAGTTTTACTCGGCGTTAAAGAATACAAGTAGTTCAGGAAAGTTTTATCTTTGCGATCGCGTGGCTGAACGCCAAGGGCGCCATCCAGTAGACGAAAATACGGTCCCAGCAGTCCGCTATCCTCTGTACTCGTTCCATCACCGAGAATCCAGGTCCGTTTCCCAAGCTTTTGTCTGTGAACTTCCTCAAAGAACAACTTCGCATATCCCCCAAAGACCCACACCACAATGACTTTGACATTTCTCTGCTGCTTAATACGTGACACAATCTGTCTAATATCGGTGGCAGCACGAAGACGCGGAACAAACTCTGAAAAGGCCAAGCAAAAGGTTCCTCGATTATACGCCTCTTTCTGTAACGCAGAGACGCCAAACCGCCCGTAAGAATCATCCAGAGCCACCGTACCAATATATGTCCATTTGAAGTATTCAAACAGATCTGCTTGCACTTTTGCTTGTTGCCTGTCAGGCGGAACGGTTCTTAAGAAGTATGGATATTGATCGGAACTAAGCTCGTCACTCGTCGCAGCATAGCTTATTATTGGGATTTTGGCCATGCTGAGAAGACTCGCAATCTGAACTGAGCTGGCTGAGTCGTACGGTCCAATTATTGTAGAAACAGGAGCAACATCATCTTTGCTGTAGCAAGAAGTTGTTTCGTTTTCCATGCTTAAATTTCTGTTCGTAAACATATGATACAAATCTGCATCTCGCACAAACTGGTATGTTTCTTTAACGGCAACAGATACAGTTTCGCAGTAGTCACGGATGTCGAAGCCGAGTGTAACATTCGGAAGCAATGAAGGGTCATTGTTGATTTGCTCGATCGTGAAGATCATTGCTTCAGCGTGACCGAAACCAACGGGAAAGATGTCTACACCGCATTTGTCTTTAGAATCCTTGTAATGTAACACTGTGAGTCCTCCAAGCATGACATCACCAGCTTGAAAAGCTCTCTTAAATTCATTCAAGGCGGCGAGTTGGTCAATACAAAACAACCAAACAACTATTGGAGCAAGCATCGTCAAGAAGCTAAAATGAATATAAGTCGGTTTCAAAACTGAGTTGGTTTTCAAGTTATCTATTTCAACGGTCCGAAGTCATCTTGTGAAGGAAATACGACTTGTGGTAAACATTGCGTCAGCGAAATCGTAAGAGATTGGACTCTAATTTACGGCTATTAAAAGCTCGCGTGATTTTTATATGTAACACGTTTTTTTCTTTTTTCGGTATTCGTAATGCATGCTTTACTACGGTGTTTTTAAGGGCCTTTTTTTCAATTGGAAATGTTTGTGTTCGAGACTTTAAATCTATGTAGCTGACAAGGCTGGACAAATGTAAGTACTTTTGATTTCGCTGCCCTTTATCTGGCTTTTTTGGTTAGAAAAATATTCGTTTTTAATACTCTTTAATTTTGCAATTGCAGCTTCAGATTACCACAATATTGTTTTCAATAAAATCCTGAAAATCCAAATGAATGTCAATGTGTCTGTGTTGCTTATGTAGTCATTCTTTTAACTTCGCATGGTCGTCCATGTTCTATTTCTTTTCTCCAGTGATCTCGTTTTAAAAATTCGATACTTTCACATATGGAAGAGTAGTATAGGAGATGGCTGTACGAGACCACTTTGAAAAAGTGATCTCACACAAAGCCATCTCAATTACACTACTTTCCATTTTTTACGGAAATAATCAATGGAAATAATTTGAAGGAAATAGCTTTATGGATATAAAAGATGGAAATAATTTTATTGAAATAAATTAGGAAAATAAAATGATGTAGGGAGGTATTCATGCATCCATGATTTGACCACACACACCTGCACGTCACGCGGTGGTGTGATTCTTAGAACGACAGGAAGTTGATGATGTAATACATAAGGGACTTTCCGGAGGAAATGAGTCATCACTTTGCTATCGTTCTTAGGATTACCAGTAAAAATTGTCAGTAAAGTTTGTCAGTAAAGTTTGTTAGTAAAGTTTGTCAGTAAAGTTTGTTAGTTACGCTTGTCAGTGAAATTTGTCGGTGTTTCTGGGTCTAAAAAAAATATCACATTATGTCATAGAATAATGAATTGTTATTCTGAAATTCATGACGCATCAGAGAAAATTAGATGGCAGTTTCGGATGAACAAATTCAAAAACATACTGTGAAAGTCAAAAATGTTGTAGGAATATGAAACTTGAAAACGTTAATGGAGAGTATATATATGTTTATTGACGTCAAGTTGATGGATACGACCCCGTTAATGAATTTGTTGATTTTTATGATAATAGACGTAAGATAATCCGAAAGTCTGTTTGTCACAGAAAGTAACCATAGGGTAAAATATGGACTGGACCACTGGACCCTTGGACTAATGGACTTTCTTTTTTGCCCGATACAACATCACATGCTGATAATAAATTCAATTGTTTAAAATGTTTGTGTGCTCCGCAGTATAGCCAAATTTTTTTATGATTAAGTCGATATAAGGATTTGATCTCAAGTGACCCTTTAACTCCCAGATCAAATTTATAATTCTCCTTACTGTCAATCATACAACTCTTACAATATTCGTTCAGAGAACTTAGTATTGGGTCAACTAATTATCCCCAAATTGATATTTTTCTTTATTCAAATTTCTTATCTGGTTCATATTATATTAATATTGTAAGGAGAAATTCTTTCTTGGTCACACATGGGAGTTAAAGGGTTAATTGATTTTCATCAATGTTTTTATCTATTTGATTAACATAAAAATAGTCTGAGTTCTTTTCATATATATATATATTTGAGAAAATGCTTCAGTTTCCAATTTTACGAATAAAAAAACTTAAATTTATTCCATCTGGCTGACCCGCGGAAATTTCAAGAGTTAATTATTGGGTGCTACAGCTTCGTCATCGTATTGTGCTCTTTTGAGGTCTATTATCGTTTTGTCGGATCAATATCAGTATCTGAGCAACTGCCCACCTACCCCTCCCCTAACCCGACTTTAGTCTTAACTTGTTATCAATAGACTGTTGTTGGGTTAGGGAAGGGGTAGGTGGACAGTTGCCCAGATACCGATATTGATCCGTTTTGTCTTTTGCATCCCATCGCCCGTCGTTTGATGCTTTCAATTGATGATCATTTGTCATTTTACGATATCTTATTTCGCATAAAATTCTATCCACAGCATCATAATCGTTGACCAGGGTGTGTACATTTTTTATTCTATAATTAGTCATGGACATATCATCCTGAAAAGGTTCAGAGCCATCGAGAATACTGTTTGCAAGTGTCAACATATTTTTTGTTAAAAGCATCAGTTGGATTGCTGGCATCACCCAAATTGATCAGTTTATATCCTATCATATCGAGGCCGCTTGATAAGTCTAGAGAGAAGCCTTTAGAATCGACAAATTTTGTTGACTGCATCTAAGTCACTGTGATCGCTGCTTTCATAGTCTGGAATAAGTAATCTGCTTTTCATTGTCTGTGGAAGCAAGTTGTTTAAGTCAACCTTTTTGTCTGTGATATTTGACTCTTGGTCGTTTGACCCTTGGTCACATCTTCATCATCGTAAACAGCTCTCTTCAAGTTATAAATCGTTTTACCATCAGCATCCCATCAATTATTACTTATTTTCATGAAGTTGTCACCAACATATTTCTTGTTTAAAGCGTCTGTGTGATTGACTGGGTCAACAAGATTAATTGTTTTGTTATTGCTCTAATCGAAATCACTGCCGATGATTTTGCTCGTATGATTGTCTTTAATGTATTTTTTGGCAAAAGATCGTATTTTAAATAGTCTGATAACACAGTATGACTGTTTATTTTTATTTTCTGTCGGATATCAAAATTACCATCATCAGTGAACTTAAAACCAATACCTGGAGGTCCCTCTTGACCTCTCGAAATTTTATCAATACACAATTTTCCATGTTCAATGAAGATTCCATTATGTAATATGTTTAGATATTTCCGTAGAATTTCTTTTGATTTTTTCCATGGGTTTGTCAACGTATAGAAATGAAAACGGGTTTTCGTTTGCTTTAACATGTTGACTTTTTGTCACACCCAACTCTCTTGATATCATGTTTCTCTCATTGCTAATGGGGAAGTTATAAACAGCATAATGACTGCATTCAAGCGAATGTCTTTCGGTGTTTTATAAAAACCTTTAAAAGACAAATTAATAATAAAGCAGTTTTTCTGTCTGCCTCTAATAAAGTAATCAAGCCAACCTTTATATTTCTTTATTTCTTTATTTTTTTTTCACAGATAAAACCATCGAATATGGCTATTTTCTGTGAATTCGTGTCCATTTCATCTACTGGAATGATATCACCATTATTGTGATGAAAGACATCATATCTAACTTGTTTGCTCACATCTGTCAAATTATCAATCATATGTTTGTGCTTGCTCTGTTCGATATTTTTAGCATAAAGATACAGCGTGTCATAAAACAGCATCGGTGCCATCAACATGCGATACAATAAATTTGTCTTGCCTCCACCAGAAGGGGAAGTCACTTCTTTCGGTAATGAGCATTCTCAATATATCCTGTAGCATATATGAATGTATCTTTTTGAAATTGTTTTCTTTGTCGTCATTGAAGCCATAATTGGGGATGTTCATTTATATATGGTTGTTAAATACTTTCAGACAAGTTGAGATAATTTTATAGAATGTACCTATGTAGAATGCACATAGAAAGGTTAAAAAGACGCAGTGAATCAAAGATAAAAGCTAAAAGAAAAAAGCTATAAAAGTGAGACATGAGATGAAACAGTATCGGTATGAGAAGCAGAATCTTTATGAAGATATTGAAGAAGCATACAAGCCTGCCATAGACGTTCAGAGAGAGGTGAGGGATACTATTGACAAATAAAAAACAAGTTAAAGTAATTGAAAAACTGCAAGATCATCAGAATAAAACTGTTAAGGGAATAGAGTTTGATTTTGGGACAGAAACTGGTCAAAAACTGCCATCATAAAATGAAAAACATCAGAAGTCAAAATCACTAGCTTGGAAGTGATGAAATCTATTAAGTATCACTCAGCTGTTTTGATGATAAGAGATTTATATTGAATGATAATATACAATCATACGCAGTGTTAAATTCTGTAACCTTTAACTTCAGTGATTTTCTGCATTTATCAAGAAAGCCCACTGCTGGAGAAATGAGATTACACATTTCTAACGTGAAAGTGCGTTAACAAAGGCAAGTAGACTCATTGATGATTGTTGTGAAAATTACTCGCATGTCAAATCCTAACACAGTCATTCATTTACAATAGGGTCCACTCCTAAGTTAATGGGCAATTCTGATAACTTTTGCCTTTTGAAATCCACTGGCCTGATAGATCACAATTCTTAACTCTTCGTTGTGTCACTTTCATAGCATGCCTTGACATCGGATGCATTTCTACGCAAACAAATCAAGGAGAGGGCAGATTGTACTATCTTTCCACCTCTCCCTTTTGACCTAAAATTTGTTCTCGGATTGAAATTGGACTCTCTTCGCGGACCTTTTCTTCCGCCCTTCCACGACCCCGATTTCCTCTCTTTGTATTCCAGTTTTTTCCCGCATTTTTCTCTTCCCATCTAAGTTGCTTGTCGCTGGCGCTCCCTCGTTTGACATCATAAGTGCCGCCTCTTGACGCTTTGGAATTTTCAAGCAGATGGGCGATCTAGGAAAATTATTAAAAAAACAAAGAAACGATTATAATTTAAAAAAGACCGCATCGCAGTAGAGCAAATTTTCTTTTGAGTGTCAAAAGTAATACGGCATTGCTTTGTTTATGAATTTACCTCGTCATCTGATTGGCCAGAAAACTCGCGCCACTTTCCCAACCAATCAGAGACAAAGCTAAACCAATAGGGCAGATTGTACTATCTTAGCCTTTTTCCACCTCTCCCTTTTGATCTAAAATTTGTTCCCAGATTGAAATTGGACTCTCTTCGCGGACCTTTTCTTCCGCTCCTTTCACCACCCCGTTTTCCTCTCTTTGTATTTCAGTTTTTTCCCGCCTTTTTCTCTTCCCATCTAAGTTGCTTGTCGCTGGCGCTCCCTCGTTTGACATCATAGGTGCCGCCTCTTGACGCTTTGGAATTTTCAAGCAGATGGGCGATCTAGGAAAAATATTAAAAAAAAACAAAGAAACGATTACAATTAAAAAAAAAAGACCCAATCGCAGTAGAGCAATTTTCCATCGAGTGTCAAAAGTAATACGGCATTGCTTTGTTTTTTTATTTACTTCGTCATGTGTTTGGCCAGAAAACTCGCGCCACTTTCTCAACCAATCAGATACAAAGCTAAACCAATAGTGAGCTGGTCTCTCTTTACCTTGAGTACTCATTGGCTCGGAGAGTAATATCCTTTCTTCTTATTGGCCGTTGTGATTACTCTGGTTTTGGTTTTACCACACTCAATCAAAAACCGCTCTTCTTTAGCATCGATACTCTGAGGAACGTTTCTGCTATCACCTTTCTTTTTGAGTGAATGCACCCTCTCTCACTGACTTGTTAAGATTGCCTTCAAGTTATTTATTTTCGCACCAAATTCAAAATAGGAGGGCAATATCGAACTTAACTGTTACTGAAAACACAAGAGAAATCACAACGACCAATCAGAAGATAGAAAGATACCCCAAAGAGCCAATGAAAACTCGAAGTAAAAACCAAACTACCTAAAGCGCCTGAAAACGGGAGCGAGCAAGTCGTGGTTTGTTTTTGCTCCTTATTTAAGTCGTTAAAAGGTGGCGCGAGTTTTCCAATACTGCAATTAATGCTTTGGCAAAAAAAGCGACAAAGAATATGAAATATTTACAAACAGTAACACTATGTATTGATTAAAGCCATGGGTAATAAAATACAGACATGCTACAACTAACCTTCATAAGTGTATAAGCAAAATGAGAAACTTAAGGATGATAATGTCTGGAAAGCCTATTGAGTTCTCGCAGACAAGATTTTTCCGACCCGCTGTATGGCGAATTTCTCTTGGAGGGCTTATAGGTTTGACTTTTCTGAGCCCCGCTCATACGTGTTCAAGACTTTCGGGGCTTTACTGCGTCTACATGGCGTAGATGTGGCTCTTTTCTGGCTGATGAAACCTCCTCGGTCGAGATTTTGTCCTCATCTTCTTCCGACGAGACGTCCACAAAATATTCTTCATCGTCTTCCTCGTGCGGTTAAATTAGTTTTGAAGGCCAACAAACTATCTATTCTACCTCTTTGCCGGAAGAAGAAAAAAATTCAGTCAACCCTTTCTATTCCACTTCATGATAACACACTTTCTCTTCTTAACGTAGGAATCTTTAGAACGGTCTGCATTATCTTTGGAGCAATGGCGAGATTTCATTCTTAAAGTTATATTTCATCTCCTTTTTCTTGGCTTGGAGATTAAATTTTATAGAGAATGTAGATCTAACTTTGCCATTTTATTGAATACTATCCTATTCTGTTTTACTAGAAGTTTATGTACGTGAATGGCCTTACATATGTATTTGCACTGACGACATCGATCCGGAAAGCTCTGAATGGTGGAAAACTCGGCCTTAGAAGCGCCATGCACTGATGCTAGGAAGAACTAAACTTGCAGAAATGTGGTTCATCTCTGTCTGATCAATGGTCAGTGGAATTAAAAAGATGTGGATCTTAAGTTCATGTGACTCGACGTGTGTTACATGCCCCACCCTTTCAAATATGAAACAAACAAAAATCCAAACAAACGTAAAAAAAAAAAACGATACCGTAACGAAAACAGCAAGAGCTATTTATTTTATTGGTGACCTCTATATCCAAATCACACAATCATGTTAAAAGGCACACACACACAAAAAAAAAGCATAAATAACTGAGATTCTAAGTTGCTAGACTAGCGCTGTTAAAAGCGGTTACTGTTGCAATAGTCTATTACAAAGCTGATTCCTTTGCGGCGTCAGCTTGGATGAAAACTATAACCGCATGTTTGCACGTATGTTACGCCAAACGTACGCGCTGATCTGCACCCTTTTCAGCTCTTTCTTAGTTCTGTCTGAATGGAACAGGATATCAAAAGCTTTAAGAATAAACCGGCATGCATTTAAGCAGCCCACTTAAACAATATCAACTTGCGTCAAACAAATTATTTCTTACAAAAAAAGGTTGAAAATTTTGGTATTTCATCAAAGAAACACCAATCTGATGATAAACTAAGCTACTCTCGTCAATATTTCCTGTATGCGGTTCAGGAAATGTAAAGAGGAGTTTACACATAAATTAGTTCTGAGAATTTAGAGTAGAATTTCCTTAATGGAGCCATCAATCTTGTTACGTTCATCTTGTTTCTAGTTCTTTGACCCAACATCGACACTTAAGCTGCTTTGGCCGGTATGGTTGATCTCTGATCTGCTATCACGCGTATTCACATTGGCTAACTGCGTGTTCTTACGAACGTACGCAGTGATCTGAGCCCCTATGAGCTCTTTCTTATTTTTTTCAGGACGGAACAAGATAATGAAAGCTTTAGGAATAAACATGCAACCAAGCAGGCCAAACGAATCAACTAATGTCGTGCTGCAGGCTATAACAGAAACATACCAAGCATCCTGCACTGAGAAATCCACCGAGTAATAACACAGTGCAGACAACAAAATTATGTAAAGCGAGAAGCCGATGAAGCGAGCCTCGTTGAAATTATCTGGCACTTTGCGAACTTTGAATGCATAAAAAGACGAAAGCAATGAAAGCAACAACACATACGAACAGACCATGAAATAAAACGCTTTTCCGACCGACGACCCGTACAGTTTACACGTGTAGAAGATGAATTGGGTCGGTTGTATCTTCTCCTTTCTGAATGGCGGATCCGAAGCAAACCACGCGGTTAACAACACGATGTTGACAATGTTCACTAGAACAACCAAACCGACTTGGCATTTCACCCTTGAAATATAACTTTGGAAGGGCAATTTTGAACGGTCGACTTGGAAAAGGACGAAAATGCGAACTGACTTCAGCCACAATATGGATACAAAAGTGGTGTAGATTGCGTACCGGGAAAACTGAATCAAGCGACATATAGAATCAGTTGGCTTTGTAATGCTCAACAGCCCCAGAGAAAAACTGGAGAAGATTGCAGCAAGAAGGAGAAAACTGAGCTGTCTATTCGAGGCTTTCACAATTGGTGTCTCGCGGTATTTCACAAACACAAGTAACATAGCCACGGTCATGCAAAATCCTAACGCTGTCACGCAAGAAAGGAATACACCAGCTGCATCTCTGAAGTGAAGGTTTTTCACTGGCAGATCTTCGCATTTGGTTTTATCATCGTTCGGCTTTTGTTTACGCGGGCACTCCGTGCAGTTGGTAGATCCAGGTGACTTGCTGACTGTGCCCCCCGGACATGTAACGCACTTCCAACAACACGAAGTGGTTACCTCCTGCCTAGTTCCGGGGGGACACACTTGACTGCAGAATGAGGACGGTACCTTTGTAGCAAAAGTAGCGTTTGTCCATTTGATCGCGGAGTCGTTCAGTGACAACCTTGGTTTCTTACTACTACTCCAGGATCCTACCAAGGCCTTCTTTGAAGCTCCCGTGCTATTTATTTGGACGTTCACAATTTCAAAGAAAGAATTCTTGGGATCACCTTCGCGGTCAAATTCTACAACGCCAGTGAGCCCTTTGAAACTGACATTTTTTAAGAGGGACAACAGATCCTTTCCGTCAGTTGCTAATGGCTTTCTATCAGAGCATGCTTCCCCCGAAAGTTCGCAGTTTAAAGCGCTACAACTAAAATACTTGTCTAATGCAAATGCCACGGCATAGACGGCGTCTATAAGGTAGCCAAGGTAAGGGTCGAACAGTTTGGAAGCTTCATTTGGTGACAAAGGTACATTAGAGCACTGTGGGTCGGCTGCGCTGTCTGCGTCAGGGGTGCAATTCCGAAATTTTTTCCAGTATTCTTCCCACCACGGATTCCTTCCTAAACGAGTTTTACTCGGCGTTAAAGAATACAAGTAGTTCAGGAAAGTTTTATCTTTGCGATCGCGTGGCTGAACGCCAAGGGCGCCGTCCAGTAGACGAAAATACGGTCCAAGCAGTCCGCTGTCCTCTGTACTCGTTCCATCACCGAGAATCCAGGTCCGTTTCCCAAGCTTTTGCCTGTGAACTTCCTCAAAGAACAGCTTCGCATATCCTCCAAAGACCCACACCACAATGACTTTGACATTTCTCTGCTGTTTAATGCGTGACACAATCTGTCTAATATCGGTGGCAGCACGAAGACGTGGAACAAACTCTGAAAAGGCCAAGCAAAAGGTTCCTCGATTATACGCCTCTTTCTGTAACGCAGAGACACCAAACCGCCCGTAAGAATCATCTAGAGCTATTGTACCAATATATGTCCATTTGAAGTATTCAAATAGATCTGCTTGCACTTTCGCTTGTTGCCTGTCAGGCGGAACTGTTCTTAAGAAGTACGGATATTGATCGGAACTAAGCTCTTCACTCGTTGCAGCAAAGCTTATTATCGGGATTTTGGCCATGCTGAGAAGAGTCGCTATCTGAACAGAGCTGGCTGAGTCGTACGGTCCAATTATTGTAGAAACAGGAGCAACAGCATCTTTGCTATAGCAAGAAGTTGTTTCGTTATCCATGCTTAAATTTCTGTTCGTATACATATGATACAAATCTGCATCTCGCACAAACTCGTATGTTTCTTTAACAGCAACAGACACAGTTTCGCAGTAGTCACGGATGTCGAAGCCGAGAGTAACATTCGGAAGCAATGAAGGGTCATTGTTGATTTGTTCGATCGTGAAGATCATTGCTTCAGCGTGACCGAAACCAACGGGAAAGAAGTCTACACCGCATTTGTCGTTAGAATCCTTGTAATGTAACACTGTGAGTCCTCCAAGCATGACATCACCAGCTTGAAAAGCTCTCTTAAATTCATTCAAGGCGGCGAGTTGGTCAAAACAAAACAACCAAACAACTATTCGAGCAAACATCGTGAAGAAGCTAAAATGAATATCAGTCAGTTTCGAAACTGAGTTGGTTTCAAGTTATCTATTTCAACGGTCTGAAGTCGTCTTGTGAAGGAAATACGACTTGTGGTAAATGTTGTGTCACCGACATCGCAAGGGATTGGTCTCTAATCTAGGACCATTAAGCTCACGTGATTTCTGCATGTAACACGTTTGTTGTTGTTTTTTTTTCGGTATCCGTAATGCATGCTTCACTAGGGTGTTTTTAAGGGCCTTTTTTTCAATTGGATATGTTTGTGTTGGTGACTTTAAATCTATGTACCTGACAAGGCTGGACAAATGTAAGTACTATTGATTTCGCTGCCCTTTATCTGGCTTTTTAGGTTAGAAAAATATTCGTTTTTAATACTCTTTAATTTTGCAATTGCAGCTTCAGATTACCACAATATTGTTTTCAATAAAATCCTGAAAATCCAAATGAATGTGAATGTGTCTGTGCTGCTTATGTAGTCATTCTTTTAACTTCACGTAACCGGTTTCATATGGTCGTCTACGTTCTATTTCTTTTTCCCAGTGATCTCGTTTTAAAAATTCGATACTTTCACTTACGGAAAAGCAGTATAGAAGATGGCTGTACGAGACCACTTTGAAAAAGTAATCTCATAGAAAGCCATCTCAACTATACTACTTTCCATTTTACGGAAATAATCAATGGAAATCATTTTAAGGAACTAAATTTAAGGATATAAAAGAAGGAAATAATTTTATTGAAATAAATTATAAAAATAATCTGATGCACGGGGGTATTCATGCATCCATAATTTAATGATGTAAAGTTAAATGATGTAATACATAAGGGACTTCCAGAGGAAATGAATCATCACTTTGCTACCGTTCTTAGGATTAACAGTAAAAATTGTCAGTAAAGTTTGTCAATAAAGTTTGTCGATTACGCTTGTCAGTGAAATTTGTCGGTATGTTTTTGGATCTAAAAAAATATCAAATTATGTCGTAGAACAATGAATTGTAATTCTGAAATTCATGAGGCATTAGAGAAAATTAGATGTCAGTTTCGGATGAACAAATTAAAAAAAATTCTGTGAAAGTAAAAAATGTTGTAGGAATATGAAACTTGAAAACGTTAATGGATAATATGTTTGTGTCTATTAAGGTCAAGTTGATGGATAAGACCCCGTTAATGAATTTGTTGATTTTTATGATAATAGACGTAAGATAATCCGAAAGTCCGTTTGTCATAGAAAATAGCCATAGAGTAAAATATGGCCCGGACTACTGGACACTTGGACTAATGAACACTTTTGGGGGACTATTTTTGGACCATTTTAGATCATTTTATGGGGGGAGGTAGACCATTAGTACTGCAGTAGCGCTTGTGAATGCTATGCTTAAGAACGAAAATCCGTGACCTCTGTCGTGTGCTAAAATCAATGAAAAAAGGAAGGTAGATAAATTAAGAAATAATATAATGTATTCACAAAGGGAAACGTAAAACAACTGGTGGATGATTCATGCTAACCAGTGGGTATCATTAAGCACTAGCACAAGTCCACTCAAAAGGCACACGCGTAACCCATCAGGGGAGGATCGAAAACGGGAATTGGTAATATTTTCAATAACAATTTAAGTCAATTGTTTAGGTGCCAGTTTCGCATTCCCATGGCACAAAATAAAGAAACACTGCGACTCAGCGCAAAAATTTCGACGTAACAATAATCCATCGAAAACCGCTCAAACTAATTTGAATGATCCATTAAAACTCCATTAGTCAGTAGCATTTATTAATACAACCACCTCACACGCTCCCTGCGTAGCAGTAGTTCCTGCCCTCCCTCAGTAATAACAATTTGCCTCCCTGATTACTGATAGACTGCATCCCACCCCTCCCAAAGTACTAATGGTCTACCTCTCCCAAAAATGGTCCAAAAAAAGGTCCAAAAAGTGGTCCAAAAAAAGGACCAAAAAGTGGTCCAAAAAAAGAACCAAAAAGTGGTCAAAAAAAGGACCAAAAAGTGGTCCAAAAACATTGTCCAAAGAAAAGTAAAAAAAGAATTGACAAAAAAAATTGTCCAATAGTCCAAGGTTCCGATGTTTTGTCCTATGCCTATAAAAGAATCACATTTGTTGTATGATTACCAGTTTATGCAAAGAAGATAGCATACAGATATCAACGAACGATAAAATTAGATGTTAGAGATTTTTGAATAGATTGTGGGTGTGCTACCTCAGATTAATGGTGATCGTAAAAGAGTGATCAGCATCAATGTCATTTTAAAACTAATACTCAAGTTGATGAAATAACAACAAAAAATTTTACCAATATCCAAATCAAAAACAACATTAATATCGTATAAGCAGTATTGGAGTAGAATTCAAACACTAGTCAGTGATGGTATAAAGACAATTATTCGGAGATGAATTTTTGTGAATATTCCTTATCCCAATTGTTAAATAGAGGACACATATCGATGACGATATCTTCAAGTACCCTATGCTGATAATAAATTCAATTGTTTAAAATGTTTGTGTGCTCCGCAGTATAGCCAAATTTTTTTATGATTAAGTCGATATAAGGATTTGATCTCAAGTAACCCTTTAACTCCCAGATCAAATTTATAATTCTCCTTCCCGTCAATCATACAACTCTCATAATATTAGTTCAGAGAACTTAGTATTGGATCAACCAATTATCCCCGAATTGATATTTTTCTTTATTCATATCTCTTATCTGGTTCATATTGTATTAATATTGTAAAGAGAAATTCTTTCTTGGTCACACATGGGAGTTAAATGGTTAATCGATTTTCATCAATGTTTTTATCTATTTGATTAACATAAAAATTGTAATCAATAGACTGTTGTTGAGTTAGGCGAGGGGTAGGTGGGCAGTTGCCCAGATACTGATATTGATCCGTTTTGTCTTTTGCATCCCATCGCCCGTCGTTTGATATTTTCAATTGATGATCATTTTTCATCTTACGATATCTTGTTTCGCATACAAGTTTATCCACAGCAACATAATCGTTGACAGGGTGTGTACATTTTTCATTCTTTAATTGTTCATGGACATATCATACTGAAAAGGTTCAGAGCCATCGAGAATACTGTTTGCAACTGTCAACATATTTTTTGTTTAAAGCATCAGTTGGATTGCTGGCATCACCCAAATTGATCAGTTTATTTCCTATCATATCGAGGCCGCTTGATTAATCGAGATAGAAGCCTTTAGAATCGACATATTTTGTTGACTGCATCTAAGTCACAGTGATCGCTGCTTTCATAGTCTGAAAAAAATAATCTGCTTTTCATTGTCTGTGGAAGCAAGTTGTTTAAGTCAACCTTTTTGTCTGTGATATTTGACCCTTGGTCGTTTGACCCTTGGTCACAGCTTCATCATCGTAAACAGCTCTCTTCAAGTTATAAATCGTTTTACCATCAACATCCCATCAATTATTACTTATTTTCATGAAGTTGTCATCAGCATATTTCTTGTTTAAAGCGTCTGTGTGATTGACCGGGTCAACAAGATTAATTATTTTGTTATTGCTCTAATCGAAATCACTGCCAATGATTTTGCTTTTGTCACACCCAACTCTCTTGATATCGTGTTTCTTTCATTGCTAATGAGGAAGTTATAAACAGCATAATGACTGCAATTCAGGCGAATGTCTTTTGGTGTTTTATAAAAGCCTTTAAAAGACAAATTAATAACAAAACAGTTTTTCTGTCTGCCTCTAATAAAATAATCAAGCCAACCTTTATATTTCTTTATTTCTTTATTTTTTTTTTTACAGATAAAGCCATCGAATATGGCTATTTTCCGTGATTTCGTGTCCATTTCATCTACTGGAATGATATCACCATTATTGTAATGAAAGACATTATAACTAACTTGTTTGCTCACATCTGTCAAATTATCAATCATATGTTTGTGCTTGCTTTGTTCGATATTTTTAGCACAAAGATACAGCTTGTCATAAAACAGCATCGGTGCCATCAACGTGCGATACAATAAATTTGTCTTGCCTCCACCAGAAGAGGAAGTCACTTGTTTCGGTAATGAGCATTCCCGATGTATCCTGGGGCATATATGAATGTATCTTTTTGAAATTGTTTTCTTTGTCGTCATTGAAGCCATAATTGGGGATGTTCATTTATATATGTTTGTTAAATAGTTTCAGATAAGTTGAGATAAGTTTATAGAATGTACCTATGTAGAATGGACATAGAAAGGTTAAAAAGACGCAGTGAATCAAAGATATAAGCTAAAAGAAAAAAAACTATAAAAGTGAGACATGAGATGAAGCAGTATCGGTATGAGAAGTAGAATCTTTATGAAGATATTGAAGAAGCATACAAGCCTGTCATAGACGTTCAGAGAGACGTGAAGGATACTATTGACAATTAAAAAAACAAGTTGAAGTAACTGAGAAACTGCAAGATAATCAGAATAAAACTGTTAAAGGCATAGAGTTTGATTCTGGGACAGAAACTGGTCAAAAACTGCCATCATAAAATGAAAAACATCAGAAGTCAAAATCACTAGCTTGGAAGTGATGAAATCTATTAAGTATCACTCAGCTGTTTTGATGATAAGAGATTTATATTGAATGATAATATACAATCATATGCATATGTACATTATAAAATTCAAATAAATACTTCTTTACTTTATGAAATATCAGCACCCACCAAGTGGAGAAGATATAATGCATCTTTATTATATAAAATTCAGTGTTAAATTCTGTAACTTTGACTTCAGTGATTTTCTGCATTTATCAAGAAAGCCCGTTGCTGGAGAAATGAGATTACACATTTCTAACGTGAAAGTGCGTTAACAAAGATAAGCAGACTCATTGATGAATGTTGTGAAAATTACTCGCATGTCAAATCCTAACACAGCTATTCATTTACAATAGCGTCCACTCCTAAGTTAATGGGTAATTCTGAGAACTTTTGCCTTTTGAAATCCACTGGCCTGATAGATCAAAATTCTTAACTCTTCGTTGTGTCACTTTTATAGTATGCCTTGACATCGGATGCATTTCTACGCAAACAAATCAAGGAGAGGGCAGATTGTACTATCTTAGCCTTTTTCAACCTCTCCCTTTTGATCTAAAATTTGTTCTCGGATTGAAATTGGACTCTCTTCGCGGACCTTTTCTTCCGCCCCTTCCACGACCCCGATCTCCTCTCTTTGTATTCCAGTTTTTTCCCACCTTTTTCTCTTCCCATCTAAGTTGCTAGTCGGTGGCGCTCCCTCGTTTGACATCATAAGTGCCACCTCTTGACGCTTTGGAATTTTCAAGCAGATGGGCGATCTAGGAAAAGTATTAAAAAAAACAAAGAAACGATTACAATTTAAAAAAAGACCGCATCGCAGTAGAGCAATTTTCCATCGAGTGTCAAAAGTAATCCGGCGTTGCTTTGTTTTTTTTTATTTACTTCGTCATGTGATTGGCCAAAAAACTCGCGCCACTTTCCCAACCAATCAGATACAAAGCTAAACCAATAGTGAGCTGGTCTCTCTTTACCTTGACTTCTCATTGGCTCGAAGAGTAATATCCTTTCTTCTTATTGGCCGTTGTGATTACTCTAGTTTTGGTTTTACCACACTCAATCGAAAACCGCTCTTCTTTAGCATCGATGTTCTGAGGAACGTGTCTGCTATCACCTTTCTTTTTGAGTGAATGTGTCCTCTCACTGACTTATTAAAATTGCCTTCAAGTTATTTATTTTCGCACTAAATTCAAAATAGGAGGGCAATATCGAACTTAACTGTTACCGAAAACACCAGAGAAATCACAACGAACAATTAGAAGATAGAAAGATACCCTAAAGAGCCAATGAAAACTCGAAGTAAAAACCAAACTGCCTAAAGCGCCTGAAAACGGGAGCGAGCAAGTCGTGGTTTGTTTCACCTCCTTAGTTAAGTGGTTAAGAAGGTGGCGCGAGTTTTCCCATAATGCAATTTGGGCAAAGAAAGCGACAAAGAATATGGAATATTTACAAACAGTAACACTATGTATTGATTCAATTCATGGGTAATAAAATACAGACATGCCACAACTAACCTTCATAAGTGTATGAGCAAAATGAGAAACTGAAGGATGATAATGTCTGGAAAGCCTATTGAGTTCTCGCAGACAAGAGTTTTCTGCCCCGCTGTACAGCGGATTTCTCTTGGAGGGCTTATAGGTTTGACTTTTCTGAGCCCCGCTCATACGTGTTTAAGTCTTTGGGGGCATTGCTGCGTCTACACGGCGTAGTTGTGGCTCTTTTCTGGCTGATAAAAAATCCTCCGTCGAGATTTTGTCCTCCTCTTCTTCCGACGAGACGTCCACAAAATATTCTTCATCGTCTTCCTCGTGCGGTTATCGAGAATTAGTTTTGAAGGCCAAAATCGACGAGCAACTTATTTTCTACCTCTTTGCCGGAAGAAGAAAAAAATTCAGTCAACCCTTTCTATTCCAATTCATGATAACACACTTTCTCGTCTTAACGTAGGAATCTTTAAAACGATCTGCATTATCTTTGGAGCAATGGCGAGAATTCATTCTTAAAGTTATATTTCATCTCCTTTTTCTTGGCTTGGGGATTAATAATTGGGGATTATAGAGAATGTAAATCTAACTTTTCCATTTTATTGAATACTATCCTATTCTGTTTTACCAGAAGTTTATGTACGTGAATGGCCTCAGATATGTATTTGCACCGACGACATCGATCTGGAAAGCTCTGAATGGTGGTAAACTCGGCCGCGCTAGGAAGAACTAAATTGGCAGAAATGTGGTTCATCTCTCTCTGATCGATGGTCAGTGGAATAAAAAAGATGCGAATCGTAAGTTCATGTGACTCTACGTGTGTTACATGCCCCGCCCTTTCAAATATGAAACAAACAAAAATCGAAACAAACGTATAAAAAAAAACCATAATAACAACAACAAGAACATCAACCGTAACGAATACAGCAAGAGCTATTTATTTCAATGTTGACCTCTATATCCAAATCACACAATGATGTTAAGAGGCACAAAAAAATATATAACCAAAAATAACTGAAATTGAAATAACTGAAGTTGCTAGACTAGCGCTGTTAAAAGCGGTTACTGTTGCAATACTCTATTACACAGCTGATTCCTTTACAGTGTCAGCTTGGATGAAAACTATCACCGCATGTTTGCACGTATGTTACGCCAAACGTACGCGCTTATCTGCACCCTTTTCAACTCTTCCTTAGTTCTGTCTGAATGGAACAGGATATCAAAAGCTTTACGAATAAATTGGCATGCACTTAAGTAGCCCACTTAAACCATATCAACTATAGTCAAACAACATGTTTCTTATAAAAAAGGTTGAAAATGTTGGTATTTCATCAAAGCAACATTAATCAGATGATAAACTAAGCTACTCTCGTCAATATTTCCTGTATGCGGTTTAGGAAATTTAAAGAGGAGTTTACACATAAATTAGTTCTGAGAATTTAGATTAGAGTTTCCTTAATGGAGCTATCAGCCTTGTTACGTTCATCTTGTGTCTAGTTCTTCGACCCACCATCGATACTTGAGCTGCTTTGGCAGATATGGTTGATCTCTGATCTGCTATCACGCGTATTCACATTGGCTAACTGCGTGTTCTTACGAACGTACGCAGTGATCTGAGCCCCTATGAGCTCTTTCTTATTTTTTTCAGGACGGAACAAAATAATGAAAGCTTTAGGAATAAACATGCAACCAAGCAGGCCAAACGAATCAACTAGTGTCGTGCTGCAGGCTATAACAGAAACATACCAAGCATCCTGCACTGAGAAATCCACCGAGTAATAACACAGTGCAGACAACAAAATTATGTAAAGCGAGAAGCCGATGAAGCGCGCCTCGTTGAAATTATCTGGCACTTTGCGAACTTTGAATGCATAAAAAGACGAAAGCAATGAAAGCAACAACACATACGAAAAGACCATGAAATATAACGCTTTTCCGACCGACGACCCGTACAGTTTACACGTGTAGAAGATGAATTGGGTCAGTTGTATCTTCTCCTTTCTGTATGGCGGATCCGAAGCGAACCACGCGGTTAACAGCACGATGTCAACAATGTTCACTAGAGCAACCAAACCGACTTGGTATTTCACCCTTGAAATATAACTTTGGAAGGGCAATTCTGAACTGTCGACTTGGAAAAGGACGAAAATGCGAACTGACTTCAGCCACAATATGGATACAAAAGTGGTGTAGATTGCATACCGAGAAAACTGAATCAAGCGACATATAGAATCAGTTGGCTTTGTAATGCTCAACAGCGCCAGAGTAAAACTGGAGAAGATTGTAGCAAGAAGGAGAAAACTGAGCTGTTTATTCGAGGCTTTCACAATTGGTGTCTCGCGGTATTTTACAAACACAAGTAACATAGCCACGGTCATGCAAAATCCTAATGCTGTC